AGAACACTAAGGTGATGGTGTTTTTAATGTAGGACTATTAGTTATATGGCAGTCCTGAATATGTATGTGTTAGTTGTATAGAACACTAAGGTGATGGTGTTTTTAATGTAGGACTATTAGTTATATGGCAGTCCTGAATATGTATGTGTTAGTTGTATAGAACACTAAGGTGATGGTGTTTTTAATGTAGGACTATTAGTTATATGGCAGTCCTGAATATGTATGTGTTAGTTGTATAGAACACTAAGGTGATGGTGTTTTTAATGTAGGACTATTAGTTATATAGCAGTCCTGAATATTTATGTGTTAGTTGTATAGAACACTAAGGTGATGATGTTTTTAATGTAGGACTATAATGTAGTTATATGGCAGTCCTGAATATGTATGTGTTAGTTGTATAGAACACTAAGGTGATGGTGTTTTTAATGTAGGACTATAATGTAGTTATATGGCAGTCCTGAATATTTATGTGTTAGTTGTATAGAACACTAAGGTGATGGTGTTTTAAATATAGGTTGAGCGGCTTGTCTCCATTTGCCGGTGATAATGATGTTGAGACTTTGAAGAATGTGAGAGCTTGTGATTGGGAGTTTGATGAAGAGGCATTTGCTTTTGTGTCAGACCAAGCAAAAGACTTTATTCGGAGATTGTTGACGAGGAAGAAGGAGTAAGGGAAATGTTTAAACTTGAAATAGTTTTGTTGGGGCTAATTCTTACATTGTGGTTTAACTTGAAATAGTTTTGTTGGGGCTAATTTTTACAAACGGTTAAATAACATACTTATATATATACTGTTAACAGGCACAAATTTACATCAACTATAAGTCAATTTTTACATTAGTACTTGTAATAGCATGTTACCATGTATATTCTTACATTCACTATCCCTGCTACTGGACCTATACATAAGTTTGCATGTTAAAAAAAACTACTAAAAACCCAATATGTGTTGTACATACGTATATATTTACAGGATTTCAACTTAAAGTCTTACAAGGCACTAGTTCCAGCTAATATCAAAACTAATGTGGTAAATGTAAGACCCTTTCATAGAAACTTAAAATATAAGTATAATTACACAATGTAAAAATTAGCCCCGACAAAACTATTTCAAGTTTAAACACAATGTAAAAATTAGCCCCAACAAAACTATTTCAAGTTTAAACACAATGTAAAAGTTAGCCCCAACAAAACTATTTCAAGTTTAAACACAATGTAAAAATTAGTCCCGACAAAACTATTTCAAGTTTAAACACAATGTAAAAATTAGCCCCAACAAAACTATTTCAAGTTTAAACACAATAAAAACATATTGAGTATTGTGTATAAGTATTAGACACAAATTTCCATTTTACTTCTTTCTCTAGTTTTTTCAACCATTAATATATATATTTATTTCTAAACAACTTGTAATATCAAAACGTAAAGACTGAGCTTTTGAAACTAAATTAGCAAAGTGATATTTGTTTTTGTTCAACATTTTGACTTTTCAGGAGCACAGTTCTTTAATATTAAGTAAGTGTAAGAGTAAAACATTTGTAGCATTTGTTGTTTATTAATTAAATGTGAAATATTCACCAGTCAACATAAATCACACTAAAAATCTCCTACCTAATAGGTTCATCAAGTTTTATTTTTGGAATTTCTTTCGGGATTGCTGTAGAAAAGAAGTTCATGAAAATGTTTAGAATTTTTATTGTAAATTTATATTAAAAAAAACATTAATGAGTGTGAATATTAAAATACAAGAAAAAAAATAATTTACAGTCTTTTTTTAAAAACAACAACATTAATTTAAAATTTAGATAAAAAATAAAAGATAATCTAAACAGAGCAATTTTTGGATAACACTGATAAAAGGTTTTGTAATGTAACAATTGAAACTGAAAAAAGTAGGATATGCAATAATTTACTACTGTTGTTATACCAAAGTTATAAAATCACTGAAAAATATATTTTTATGCTTCACATAACAGTTAATTCTAAAAACAATCTCAACAGTAACACTTACCAATTTTATACTTACAAAATATGACACCATTATTAATCTACAGTATAAATCAAACTATAAGCCATAGATTAATAAATAGTCTGAAGTAAGTTTTATACAAAAGTTATTTATAAACTACAAACAAATGTAGGAAATTTGGTTTAATCTGTTGTTGTTATTGTTTGAAGTCAAGCACAAAGCTACACAATGTGCTCTGCCCACCACGGGTATCGAAACCCGGTTTCTAGCATTGTAAGTCTGCAGACATACCACTGGCAGGCATGGTTTAATCTAATGATAAAATTATAAAAATATTTTTTTTAGCTATTTAATACTCACACTGTACATTAAGGAAAACTGGTTCCTCCCTAAAGCCATAGTGGTTTTCAGCCTTGATAATATACTCCCCTTTATCATCAATTTTACATCGGTTAATGATGAAGTAAAAGTCATTATCCTCATACCTCTTCATGAACTTTACACTTTGCCTGAGTTCTTCATTTTCTCTGAACCTAAAACATTTATAACAGCTAAGGTCAGAAAGACATAAATATGAAGAAAAATAGTATAAACTCATATTATAGTTCCAATAAACATAGCACACCTATAGTACAGTAACATTAAACAACTACCAACAACTGTAATAACACTAAATTTCCCATTTCTTTTGCGATCTCAGAACCAAAGCTATAAGAGAATGTATGACAGCAATGTGAGTAAGCATTCAAGAAGAATATTAACAAAAATTATTGTACTTAGCTCTGTTGTAATTCTTTAATTTACAAGACCTTCTAGTCTATCATGATTCAGAACAGAGCCTGACACTTACCATGTAACAGTTGCAGGTGCTGCAGCAATCACTCGGCAGTAGAACTTAGCTGCTTGACCCTCATATGCAAATGTACTCTGTGGTCGAATCACAAACCTTGGAGCAGCTTGCCGTGAGTCTAAAATTAAAAACAAAATCAATTTGTTACTTCAACGTTTTTAGTAGGACAGACACGGAAAAGTGACAACGAAATAGTCATTAAACATTTTACAAAATTACTACAGTGAAATAACTTGTGGAACTTTTAACAGACTTTATTAGAATTAAAATTGTTGCCATAAAATATAGCTTACAACAGGAGAAATAGCATATTGAAAAACAGAACTTGCTGCACAAGTAATGGTTTTTATTTAAAGGTAGGACTTATTACATTAAAATTCATATTTTTTAAGTTAAAGCTACTGCAGTAAAAGTAGTAAAAAGTAATTAATGAATAATTAGAATCAGGTGATCATATAGGCTACTAACCATGATAACAATTGATATTTCATCGACACAACTTTACCATAAATAATTAACAAGAGAACTTGATCCTGTATATTCATAAGGAAAAGTTACTACAGTAAAAGTAGTAAAAAGTAATTAATGAATAATTAGAATCAGGTGATCATATAGGCTACTAACCATGATAACAACTGATATTTTATCGACACAACTTTACCATAAATAATTAACAAGAGAAGTTGATCATGTATATTCATAAGGAAAAGTTACTACAGTAAAAGTAGTGTATTATAGTAAGACTTACCGATGTAGAAGTCTTGAATTCTATATTTATCTTTTTGTAGTTTTCTAAGTGAACTGTAGTTGGCAATATGACCAAAGGGCAGTAGACATGCATCCCAGTAATCTCCCTAAAATATTATTACACAAAAAAACTAACGATGTACACACGAACCTGTATCTAATAAGCATATACATATGTATGACATAATATTTAAAATGTTTACAAGCATTATAATTAACCAAATGATTTAGAAACACTGTATGTTTGTAAGTAACATTCTTTAGTGAAACTTTTATCTGTCAAAGCAAATCACATAATCTATTAACAGTTCGGAGAGTTGCTTCATAACTGATATAATTTTCAGTTATATTTACTTTTACACTTATCAATTAAATAAATATCATGTTTTAAAACAAAAACTCAATAGGAAGCGATAGAGCATAACACCTACATATTTTGCTCGGATGCGATCTCGAAGAGCCATGTACTTTCTGGAAGGAATTGGAATAGTTGGAGCATCCTTGATGTCACCCTGGAAACAAATGAATTACATTTTACCAACTTTATAATGCATTATTCATCTAAGCTTAACACTCTAAAAGAAAAAGGCAGAGAATGCAAACAAAAATTTTAAGGTACAAAAAAAACTAAAGAAAAAAAAATAATTTCAGGCACCTAAAAAAATTAAATGGATTTACTCCAGAAACTCGAAAATAAGATTTAATACAAATGCAAAAACGTTAAAGAGTACATAATTGATACAATTTCTTTTTTTAGGAATACAAAGCTAACACCTGAAAGTAGCTAGCTGTACAATTAGTAACCTTCATGTAAACAGTTGATGCAAACACAAACTACATATACTACTCACCTTCAGCCAAGGATGTTCCAAACACTCATGGCTGGTCATTCGTTTTCTGCAGAAATAAAAATAATTAAGAACTCCAGCTAACTTAATATAGGAGAATCCCTTTGTTAAAATCAGATGCATGATATCAAACTCTTATTATTTGAACAACAATAAACGGATGTTTTT